TCCATTGTGATGCCTCACCCTCTTGATCTTGCCGAATTTCGGGCATATTGGTAGACACTGGTTCGACATCATGAATCTGTTGTATCTGCATACTATGTCCAGCTTTGAAATTTTCCGGCGGCTTTGAGCCTTCCCCGACCTCTTGCAATTGCTCTGCCCTTTCATTAAAAGTCACGTGACCCTCACATGCTTTCTCCTTTGTCTGAGGGATTATGAACGGCCCACCTTTACAATTGAGGCCCAAGTTAATTGTTGGGTCATGACCTACAAGTCGGTCTTGGCCCATTAATTTAAACTTGGAACCCTCCTCACGTGTCTCTGTATTTGCACGTGGTTGTCCAGCTGTGGCTGACATATCACTGTCCAAAGTACGATGTAACTCACGATCCTTTGGTACAAATATTTTGGACCGTTAGGTAATATCCACTTTCGAAGGGATTTTTTGGCTCTGTTCTTCTCCGGCGAACACCCTTGCAGGACTTTCAGTCCAGATTTGCATCGTGAATTGGAGGTTTCCATCGTCTATCGTGACCTCTTTAGGTACTTTGGTGCCATCACCTTCGACCTTGATTCTCGCCCATTTTAGGTGATTTCGTAGTTGTGTTTCCTCCTCTGTTTCGACCCATCCTCCGCAGAAATCACTGATGGCTTTGAACACCCCGTGGGACCAAAACTGAAGGGGCATACCAACGATTTTGATCCATGTTGTTCTAGCTCTCTCTGTCTCCAATGATGTACATATCGTCGGATTCCACCATTGGAAAAGCACTGGAGAGTTCCTCCAACTCCAATTACCTTCAACTACTTGTTCTGCTGTGATCATGGAGGAGAACTCAAATAAGAAGTAGTCGTTTCCCATCTCGTAGATATTCAAGCCATAAGTCTGCTTCCAAAGTTCATTTGTCCACCTTTTGATATCTGCAAGGGTTGGGGCTTCGCCTTTACTATATACAAATTTTCCCACTAAGCTCTTCTTTAAAACTTCACTGTATGAGTTTGCATTATCATTAATGCAGATTCTATCTCCCCTCTTCCCTAGAACCAATATTCCCCTTGTTTGCCCATTTAATGCTCTTTAGAATTTCTGCATACGGTATGTTCTTATCCACCAACCTATGTACTCCTCGGTTCCCCACGTGTTTATGGCTGCTGATAAATCTCTCAATCTTTTCTGCAATTCCTGACCATCCTGAGTTGATAGTCATTTCAGGGATGATAATAACTGCCCTTCTTCTGCCTTTGATGTTTATCAAGCTAATGTACCTTCCATACTTGTTGTAATTTCTGGCACAATAAATCTCTGAGAAAGCATCCTTTTTCTTCCATCTTCGCACCGTATTCCCCTTTGTTTTTGAGGCCTCCCGTAGAGTCTGACAGATCCATTCCAATGCTTTGGCGTTGAAGGTTGTTCTTGTGACGAAGTTCCTGCTTCTTTCTGTCCAGTCATACCAATCACCTGCTGTTCCGGGTGTTCGTGTGACATCGTAGGATTTAAATTCGACTGCGAAGTATATAGTGTCGTCCATCGAGGGTTAGTTCTAGAAAAGTTTTAGGAGGGAAAAAGAGAAGGAAAGGAGAAGGTAGCTTCCGGTGATCAGAAGGATCACCGGAGAAGAAAGAAGGAAATATCAATCTAGACAATCATCTCGATATTAGTGCCTGAGAGAAAAGTTATTTTCCACATGATTCAAAGCGCGAATATCTGTTTTGGGATCTATGCCAATTAGAAAAGTAATCTATGCAATTCAAAAAAAAAACCAGCTAATCTAACTTGTCGAAGATGAGAACCTTTTGTCCCCGTATTTGCTATTGACCAATGCATAGATGAGTGACAGTTTGTTTTAATTAGCAAAAAATGGATTCCGTTTATTTATACAACACTAAGATAATGCTTCTTTTAGTACTTCATAAACTTGCAAAAGCAAAAGTTAGAAAAGGTAGCTGCTGAGAGAGATGGATGTGTTTCGATAAAGTTTGGTTAAAGAAAAAGAATGTAGAAAATAAGAACAAAGGAGAGGGTTAACGAAAGAGAAATGGATCAGATTAGAAGGGAGGAGGAGAGGGTGTTGTAAACGTTGCCGGAGGTGCTAGATTGACGGGAGAATCATTTGATTTTAACCTTAACCATTTAGGTATAGAATTCATGAAGATGACACAAATGTTTCCAAAAAATTAAATAAATCATAATCCAAATTCCAAGTTAGTGACTTCTGAATTTGCTAGTTACAAGTTTCAAGGTGTGAATTCATTTATTGTATTCGCCTTCTCTCGCATAAAAAAATGCATGAGAAAAGGGAAAGATTGGGCAACAACCCAATCTAGAATGCATGTGGCTATGGCTATATCTAGATAGAAGGATTGCAGGTACTGCCTTAAATGAATGGAAGAGGAAAGGATCTCTTCGGCATTTTAGATACATGATTTTTCCCCTTTCATACAACCTAGATTTTTTGCAGTTTGAGATGCCTCTCGTTCTCTTTAATATATGCTTTACTCTTCTTTCTACTTTGTTTAGATTAATGTCATAAAATACAATATTGTGTGTAATTATATTGTACTTTCCTCATTCTCTTGTCGCTCTGGACAAATTGATTTCCTTGCAAATATTCTTGCTCTATTGGTCAATGTTCTAGGTTCAACCATTTCTTCATTGCTTCTTTCATTAGTTGTATCTGTAGTATTAATTTGGTGTGAGTTTCTTGGTTGTATTCATGGTCCTAGAGACACCCGGAATATCTGGAATATAGCAGGCAGAGGTTGGTACTCAAGGATATCTGGAATCAGTTTCTATTGTCATTTCCTTTGTTCTTTCATTTGAAGGTGAAAAGCTTTTAATAAAACACTCCAGGTCTATTAGGGCTTTAAGTGAAATGGAGGTGTGGATTTTATTAAGAAACCAAGTACAAACATATATGTAATGCAAGAAAAAAAAGGTAACTTCTTTTGCCGGTTATATTTATTTATAGGTGCCACCACTTTATTCAAGATAATACTCATGGGCAATGGGTCACACACCTTAGCTCACCCTGCATATACTTAACCAGAGTTTAAGTGAGTTGAAGCACCCTCCCTAAGCTCGGCTTATACACGCCTTAAATAAGCCTCAACAACACAACGTTTGACCTGTTGTGGTTTTGTTCTTTTGTTCTCAATCATCAGTATCTATCTCTATTCTATTACCTTTTGTTAGTGATAGAGGATGGACAAATGACTTTTATTCATTCACATTGTACTTTAAGATTTCGTTGGATATTCTCTAAATCTTGAATTGCAATGATCATTGTACTTTAAGATTTCATTGGATATTTTCTAAATCTTGAATTGCAATGATCTATCCTAATCTTTGGATGTGTAAGATTGTTCTTTTTTATCGTGTAATAAATAACTAACATTACATGATCCTGCATGTTATTGTAGGTATTCAGAATTTAAAAGCTGATGTTTACATATTTGGCATTCTACTTGTGGAGTTGATTGGCAATAGCTACATTGGTATAGAGAAGAAGATGGCAATGCACCACTGGATTCTTAGGGAACTCCAAGGAGAAAAAAAATCAATAGTGAATGAATCAATTCTACAAGATAATGATGAGCTTCCTAATGGCATCACAGACATAGCAGTAAAATGTTTGAATGAGCATCCAAATGAACGCCCAGATATGGTGGAAGTCTCTACCAACTTGTCCAATTTGGTAGGAGCAACTTGATATTAATTAGTTACTTTGAGCTTAGTGAGGTTTTATATGCTCAAAACATTACTCAATATGAATCATTAGTTGCTTGGCAGGTCATGTTTAGCGATTTGAATGTAATAAGGATTTAAGGTGTGTGGTGATTCTTGTTTTGCTTGTTAGGACGCTTACTATAGAGAACTTGAAAACCACTTGATATGCTTGAACTTCATTCGAGTTATTCCTCATTTTGGCTAATTCTTACTTTTAACACGATTTATGCTACAATTTTGATTTACTCTTTTTTAATTAACCTAGTTTTAACTTATGTGAGTGCATGTGTCAAATGTCAATATATTAAATTTCCTATACAAAAAGAATATATTACGTAAATAAGCGATGACATTGACAAAAATGTTATTACATTGACTTGTTTAATTATGTGTAATAAGTATTTAGATTTACCCTTCTTTACATGTAATCTTTTGTTATAATTTTCAGTAATGATATTGCGAGAAATTTATTTTTATTTTTAGACACTCGAAAAATGAACTTGTATGTTTATATTTAAGGGGAAAAAACATCAATGTACAACATAAGACCTAGTATTATAGAGAAACATAACAGTAGAATTTTACCAAAATAAAATGAGATTATTTTTTTAAGAAAAGGTATAAAAAAGCATGATTTCTACCAAAAAAAAACAAATGGAAAAGGGTTAAATGTACCCTGTACTTTCAAATATGGTTTAAATATATCCTTCGTTATACTATTGGGTCGTATATGCCCTTACCATTATACTATTGGACATATATACCCTTATTTTGGATGGAATGCCAATTATTTTCACTTATATTGCATTTGTCTCTCACCAGATTTACAAGAGAAAAAAACCAATATGATAAGAAGAACAAGAAAGCATAAGAAAAGATTAAGATTTCAAAAGATTCTAACCTCAAAGAAAGAATTTAGATTGAGCGTTCTTCAAGATCTGCCTCTTAGAAGATAATGAAATTTTAGATCTATAAAAAGGCATATAATGTATCTGATTGTATTTAATTAGAAGTGATGAAGGGTCACAACTATCTATCTACCATACACAATTGAAATGGTCAACAATGGAGCTAATAAATCCATCCGTCCTTTGGTTAGTAAAGGAAGATTAATGCAATTCTAAGGAGTGAATGACAATTGAATGGTAATCCTGTTATGAATTCTGAAGTTAGACTTTGAGCAACTAATGACACAAATAGGCTTGGTAGATTTGACAATAGTTGGAAAACCATTTGGCCAAAACATCACAGTTAAAACGCCTAATTAAACAAACTAAAAATGAAAGCCTCGAAACCCGAACCAGCCATCCTACTAGAACAAAAATGACCTTACGGATCTAACCGCGTTGACGAAATTCTCATCTGATCATATTTTACCAAGAATATTGACTGAAGTAGAACTTTGATTAATTTCCAAGTTAAAACGCCTAATTGCACAAACTCAAAATGCAAGCCTCAAAACCCAAACCAACCATCCTATTAAACCAAAAATGAACTTCCGGATCTAACCGTTCTGATGGAATTCTCATCCGATCACGTTTTACCAAGAATATTGACTGAAGTAGAACTTTGATTAATTTCCAAGTTAAAACGCCTAATTGCACAAACTCAAAATGCAAGCCTCAAAACCCAAACCAACCATCCTATTAAACCAAAAATGAACTTCCGGATCTAACCGTTCTGATGGAATTCTCATCCGATCACGTTTTACCAAGAATATTGAGTTGAGTCGAACTATGACTAAATTTCCAAGTTAAAACGCCTAATTGCACAAACTCAAAATGGAAGCCTTGAAACCCAAACCAACCATCCTACTAGATAAAAAATGACCTTACGGATCTAACCACGCTGACGGAATTCTCATCCGATCACGTTTTACTAAGAATATTGAGTTGAGTCGAACTTTGACTAAATTTCCAAGGTAAAATGCCTAATTGCACAAACTCAAAATGGAAGCCTCGAAACCTAAACCAACCATCCTACTAGAACAGAAATTACCTTACGGATCTAACCGCGCTGACGGAATTCTCATCCGATCACATTTTACCAAGAATATTGACTGACAATGCATTAGTTGCTCTTTAAAATGTTAATATGCTACTTTCACCAACTATCAATTCAAAGGATCCAAATCCCTGTTTTTATGACAATTACTATAGTTTGCCTGCCACTTCCAACTTGGTAGTGCTTTCTTAATGATGTGATATTCTTTATTTTAGAGCACCTCAACTACGTGACTAATACAAATTAAGCTAAAATGAGAGAGCATTCATGAGGAAAGAATTCACTCACACATAATTCATTGTTAAAATATTAGACACATCTTCATTTAAACTGAATGAAACTTACATAATTCATTGTTCAATTACAAAAGCTGGCACATACAACAAAGAAATACAATTACATTTGTTTTCAAAAGAAGTCTCTTATTTTTGTTACATTATCCTTCCATGACAAATACCAAGCTTCAAAAGTTGAATACCGGCCCCAACAGCATATAATAAGTTGATATAATAACATCTGAGTACTTTGTATTTCTGACTAGACCTTTGTGATTACTCCAACTGCTGAATAGTCTGCGAGAAAAGAAAAGTTCAATATAGTCTCGGAGAAGAAGGAATTATAAACACCTTGGAGAAGATGATGAACTTACCAGTTGGGTCAGCGTTTTGAGCAATCTGAGTTGGCTACTTACAAAAACACTAATGTTGAACTTAATCATGCATTTTTCATACAAAAACAACCTACTTTAAGCCCACAACATTCACATATATGTACATTTGTGGACATTCTACTAGGTAACAAAAAATCCTATTATGGTTAGCCCTTACAAAATAGCTACACAAAAACCATTCAGTGATTCAAAGCTTATCATTAATAATCATCCATACCATACTGTGACATTCAAGTTCACTAATGCTTAAGAAGAATTACATCCTCTTTATATCTTGAGTAATTTCCATTGCTACCTTGACTCGTTCATCTAAGTTGTATATTTCAAATGTAGGGAATCCAATAATAGAAAATATGTTACCATGAATCTCATATATATCATGCTCTCCTAGCTTGTTAATTAAAGAAGTCATTCTCTTATCATGACTTTCGGTGAATTGTTTCATCACCTCCATCAAACCTTTAAGAACAGTCTCATTATCATCTTCAACTGTTTTTCTTTTTTTGCATGTACCTTTTTCATTGACTTTAGAAGACGTTGCTTTAAAATTATTACCTTGTTTCTGAGATTGGTGGGTTTTACCTTTTTGAGTTGTGAATGAACTTTGTGCTGCTCCAGTTGATTCATTAGGTTCAACTTGAGCAGTAAATGGACTTTGTGTTGCTCCAGTTGATACATTAGGTTCCTCTTGAGCTGCTTGATCTTCTCTTGTGCCTGAAGCATCATTTACTTCGACAACAACAATAGGAAATCCCACAGACGTGCCATTAGTAATTTCTTGAGCTTCTTCGGCAAACTCTCCAGTAGCTCTATCCTTGCTAAATATCTCTTCCCAGTCAGCAAATAATGGGCATTTTTTTAAGTTCATTGACTTGGCATTTGGATCAACCTAAGAAAATAAAGAATAAGTACATGAAGTAACTGACAATATTCCAAAGACAGAGATCCATTCACCAAGAGAAAATATAAGTACCAATTCCCTGATGATTTAAAATAAATATAAATCACCCTTATCAAGTCATCCCAAGCTTTTGGATCATCAACTAAGATACTTCCATCACTATATTGGAATCCTAAGCCACTTTGACTTTTTAGTAACGATATGGTTGCATAACTCTTTTTTCATGCTCTTATTTTAGAATCAACATGTGGTAGAGATTCCAACCCACAGTTAGGATGACGAGCATTCATGTAGTGTTCCAATTTCCATTAAATATCCATGTCTAAAGGTTCCATTATCTCCTCTCCAACCATTAACACACAATTCTTTTAATCCATCTACAAGAGTAAGTTCCTCTTCTGGAGTCCATACCCTTCGAGATGAAGGTGTTGATTTTCTTGCCCTCTTTTTGGACGTGTTAGATGTTGCAGCAGTAGAACTAGCCATTTCAATCTGTAAATTATAAATGAAATCACAAGTAATACTAAGTTACAACTTACTAGTAAATTATGTCAATTATAACCCAATAAATTGTAATACAACTTGATTGATCTGGGAAAAGGATAATGTGAAGACATATATACAAATTCACTACTTATATTTAAAAATAATAGATATACGTTGAGATTCACTATTTGTCTGTACAAACAACAATGTGAGCCATACAAAAGATTGACCATTCGTTTCACAAAATAATAAAAGCTATTACATTTTACAGTGAACGGAAAACCAAAAACAAAAGTGCATAAGCACACCAAAAGTGACCACATAGTTTAAAATATAAAGATTGATTTCCCAATCTTTCATTCCACATAGACTGAGCTAGTTCATCCCTCCAAGTGCTTCCACTCATCAGATGCTTCAATTGTATTAATATTTTCATGTTCATGTTGATTCTCCATGTGGAATTCCATTTCCACATCTAATGGGTCAGCTTCCATCTCTCTTCGAATGAAATTGTGAATCAAACAACATGCACTAATAATTCTATTGTGAACCTTAACCGAGTGCCACGAAGGACTTCTAAGAATTCCTCAATTGCAATAACCCTTTAAAAGTACTAAAGTTTTCATGTCCAAAAATATCATGAAACATCAAGCTCTGCAACCCTGAGACCACAACAACAACAACATACTCAGTGTAGTCACACAAGTGGGATCTTGGGAGCATACGAAATACAAAGACCTTACCCTACCATTGTGGGGTAGAGAGGTTGTCTCTAATAGACCCTCCACTCAAAAAAGAAGTTTTTGAGGCAAGGAAAACACGATAACAAAATAGCAAGACACAAAGCAAGTGAAACAACATACATACCACATTGAGACAATCCACAGAAATTCAGTGACCATATCTTCAATATATCAAGATAGAGAATAAAACTAGCTAAAAGTGAGAAAACACAATAAAGATGGGAGAAGTTTTATGAAAAATGTAATTAAGTAGATATACTAGAAAATATAGTGATATCAAATAGAAAGATTCAAGACCAACAATATACAAACAATTCAAGCTAATACAAGAAGTGGCTTGCAACATTGACTTTGATTCAAATAAGAGAGTTTGGGACATTACCAGGGAGTCCAACAGGACTTAAGCACGAAGCTACTGCCACTCAACAATAAAGGGATACAATTCATGATAAATTATTTTAGGAATCTGACACTTCTATTCCTTGAAATTGAATAACATGAGGGAGCAAACAAAACAAAACATTATAATAAGCCTTAGTACCATGTTGATTCACTTAGCATACATTAATAAAGAGACAAAAGGAAAAAAGAAACGTGGTGATTTAGACATGTATCAACACAAAGCAAATATATTTTACCAAAACAACCATCTTATAACAAAAATAAGCACACTTTAGACCTACACTAAGGCACAGTAAACACTAAAAAAGCAAATATATTTTACCAACAATGACCAACAGGTAACAAATGGACCAAAACAATGTTTTTCGAAGCTAGAATCAACATCATTAAATTTCAATTGGAACAAATGCAGAAACAAGCTCTTATCTGACATAACACAAACAAACAATCCTTTCATTTTAAAATATAGTGTACTTCAAGCAATAAAGAGACGATGGACATTACCAAGGAGTCCAACAGGGGTTACTTCTAGTACTACCAACCCTCACATCTGGTACTACCAGTCTAGTACTACCAACAACAGGGGTTACTTCTAGTACTACCAACCCTCAAATCAGTGAAGGCAATAAGCAGTAACTCAGGTTAATATCAAAATCATATGACTTGATGTAATCATATGTGTATAGTGTCCTTACCTTGAATTCCTCAAACCACATATCATGAGTAGATTCTGGAAACTTCTTCCATGAGGGTCTAGCAAATTCAAATTTACTACGAATGCAACTAGCAATGCCTTCAATTACTATTTTGTGAGGATCAAACCTATATAAAATACAGTAGTTATCGAACATATAAACAGATAAACAATTCAGCTAAGCAAATGTATTATTAAAAGTTAGTCTTATTACCCATCCTCTTCAGGTACAATCCAGATTTGATGATCATTGTCCCCATTGCCAACTGTACTAGATGAGGTGACTGGAGTCGTATTGGTCGGTGGTGACATTAATTGTTCAAATTCTTGATTTATAGGTTGGGACTAATTAGATTGAGTTTGAGATTCAGTGTTACAAGGTTGAGATCGATTGACCTCAAGACTAGGTTGAGGCAAAGGAGGCCCATTTACATGGAGTGAACCAGTTTGAGAATAGAGGAATCGTGATGGGATTATGGGAGGTCGATATTTAGAGTTATAAGGTAAAGATTGATTCACTTCAAGATTAGGTTGATGCATTGAAGATTCATTGACATGAAGTGAACCGATATGAGATTGGAGGGCTCGTGATGGGATTATGGTAGGCAGTTGAACTGTTTGTCGCTCTACTGAACGTGTCTTTCTTTTACTTAATCTTTCTCTTTTACTGTTAGGTTGTCTTACTCTCTTAGATCTTGTACCTGACATCTGCAACAAACAAAGAACAATAAAATAATGTATTAGTAATGTAACCAATAAATAACACATGAACAAACATAGTGATAATAAAACCAATGAAGACAAGACAAAGTAATGCAAGAAATATTTTTGCTCAACTTAACAGATAATAGACGGTAAGTAATGCAAGAAATATTTTGGTCATAGTAATATAAAAATCACAATTCTATAAACCAGAATATAGTATTGTAAGTAAACAAACAAATAGACAAACTAATATTCTCAATCATCCTATGTATCCTGTTCTTGGGTTTGAAAGTGATCTTGTGAATCATCACTATCAAAAAATTCTTCCTCTTCACTTGTTTCCCCTTCCTCATCTTCCTCTTCTTCACTTGTTGTCTCCTCATCTTCAGCTTCATTTTCACTGACAACTGGTTGAAAATTACTTCCATGTATCTCTTCACCTACAACTTGGTCATCTCATAAGCAATCAATTAGATTATCCTCTATACTTGCACTAACATGTGATTGCTCCTCTTGGTAATAAACTTCCATATTATATCTTTTGTCCACAACTCCTCTTGGCTTTGTCTTTATAACTACCCACCAATCAGCTGTATCTCCTTTGTTTTCAGGATGACTTGCATAATAAACTTGAGTTGTTGTTTGGGGAAAGATGAAAGGGTCAAATTTAGAATATCTTCCCCTTTTTCGAACTTCAACAATACCAAAATGGATATCAACTTTCATGCCGTGTTTAGAGGTATCAAACCAATCACAGTAAAATAAAACTAACTTCATAAATGGTGCCATTGGCCATTCTAATTCGATAATTTCCTTAAGAACACCATAGTATTCACTTATGCTACCATCTTGTCCAGTGCCACTGACACACACCCCACTGTTATATGTACTTTTTCCTTCACCCCAAGAAGCAGTGTGAAATTTGTATCCATTCATGAAATAACCAGGCCAAGACCGTGCCTGTCTCAATGGTCTCATTGCTAAAATTCGCAAATAAGAATCTTGTCAGATCTCTTATGGATTACTATTCACCTATCAAACAGAGAAATCATATTAGATATACATTTCAAATGATATATTCTTTATTCACAACTGATTATATTAATTCATACATATTCCTTGAACCATCGTGGAAAGTCAGCTTCAATTTGCTTATCAATGATATCATCGGTAAGATCATTGTAAGTATATCTCAAGGCTTTTTCATACAAACTGCACTTAATTAAATTAGTAAATTAATTTTAGCCTAAATATAATAATCATATGTACACTATGGTGGGTACTTACTTGAGAAAAGGCTTAACCTCATCACAATTAATAAGAACATGCAATTGTGCTGCTGCAACTTCTTTATCATCTAGCCACTAAATATTGCCCTTTTTCTTTCCATAACTTCGTCCAGAAAGATTAAAGACTGATAGAGTTGGTTGAGTAGCATTTTTTGTGATTAAATCATCATTGCGATCAACTCTATTATTGCTAGATAGGACATGAGATTCAAAATAATGGGAAGCAAAGTATGAGATTTCTTGAGCCAAGTATGCTTGGCAAATAGATCATTCAACTCTAGATTTGTATTTTATAGTCTTCTTTATTTTGTTTAGGAACCTGCAATCAAATTATGAAATAAATAAATTATGTAATAAAATCACGAGAAAAATAATACATTTTAAAAATATATTGGTATACCTTTCAAATGGATACATCCATCGGTATTGAACAGGACCACAAACCCTTGCTTCATAAGGCAAATGAATCATTAAGTGCTCCATTGAATAAAAAAGACCGGGTGGAAATATTCGTTGCAATTTACACAAGATTAATGGAATGTTTTCTTCCATTTGCCTTAAATGATCCTCCCGCAATACTGTTGAGCACAAGTCTTTAAAGAATAAATTGAGTTCAGTTAGTGGCTTCCAGATTGGTTTTGGAAGTGCACCAAAAGCTACTGGAATAAGACATTGCATAAAAATGTGGCAGTCATGACTTTTCATTTCAAATAACTTTAAATGTTTCTTATCAACACATTTACCCAAATTAGAAGCATATCCATCAGCATTTTTAGCTCATGAACCCATTCACATACATCTTTATTTTGGTCGTCATTTAAGGTAAACTTTGCTTTCGGTTTAATCCATCTCCCATCAACATTCTGTTGCAAGTGTAAATCACTTCGACGACAATATTCTTTCAAGTCCATTCTTGCCTTCTCATTATCCTTTGTTCTCTCACTGTTATCCATGACTGTATGGAAAATATTGTCAAAGACATTCTTTTCTATATGCATTACATCAAGATTGTGGCGAACTAGATTGGTCTTCCAATATGGCAGATCCCAAAAAATACTTCTTTTGGTCCAATTATGTGATTTTCCATAACCGTAAAAGTTGCGCGGACCAAATTCAGTAATCTTAGGAAATCCTTTAATTTTTTCCCACACTTGTTCTCCAGTTAACCTGGGAGGAGGTCTAGACTTTTCCTCTCTTCCTTTATAAAAAGCATTCTTGTTTCTTCTAAATTCATGATTGAGAGGCAAGAATTGCCGGTTACAATCAAACCAAGAAACTTTTCTTCCATTTTTCAAACTGAAAGTTTTTGTTTCATCCATACAAATTGGGCAAGCTAATTTACATGTTGTACTCCATCCCGACAGCATGCCATAAGCAAGAAAATCATTAATTGTCCACATTAATGCTGCTCGCATGAGAAAATTCTATTTCTTGGACATGTCATAAGTGACTGCACCATCCTTCCATAACTGTTGTAATTCATCTATTAACGGTTGAAAACAGTTGAAGATACACATCAATTTTCATTTTGGGATTATGAGGACCTGGAATAATCAATGTTAAGAACATATATGGGGCAGTCATACAAATATCAGGAGGAAGATTGTACGGTGTAACAATCACTGGCCAACAAGAGTATGATGATCCTGATTGGCCAAAAGGAGTAAAACCATCAGAACAAAGACCAAGCCTAACATTTCTTGGCTCTACAACAAAGCCTGGATAAGTTTGATATGAAATTTTTCATGATTCTCCATCCGAAGGGTGGCATAACACACCTTCTTCCCTGCGATTTTTATAGTGTCTCCTCATGTCTTCAGTAGTGTCACGACCCGAGAGCACCCCCTAGTCGTAACCGGCGTACTCGACCTCGAAGAGGTCTAATACAAGCCTCTTAGCATTCATTCATCACATAAACACTAAAAACCATAAGGAATTAAAAACTTTCTTTACAAAGAAGACATTTAATTAAAAATAGCAAGCGCAAGACTTTCTAGACTTTATACATGATGTCTCAAAACCATCTAATACTTTAGAGTACAAAACTCGGGACCAATCCCATACACAACTTAAACAATACT